GCCCCGAGTGGCGTCACCCGTGTCGGTGCCCCCGGGGTCAGAGCCGGAGGACCCCTGAAAACCTGAGGCATTGCACCCAAGCCGAAGGCCAGTAGGGGGCTGGAGCCCAGTGCTCGCGATGCATATTCCGCGGGCCTGAGGCATAAGCCTTCCCCCCGGGGGAACTCGGGGCCCCGCCAAGTAATTTGGCGGGGAGGGTACACCCTGGAAGGTACAGCCGACACGGGGAGTGGGACAAACTAAGTGGAACAAAGCAAAAAACAACAACACATAACAATGGATAAGGATACTCAAAGGAGTAAGGAGAGAGAGAAGGAAGGTACAGGCAAGGCCGAAGGGAATGAAGTGATCGAGGTGGAACAGTCTTCGACTGACCAATTATTCCAAACAATGTACATCGAAGATGTATTACAAGATCCAAAAACGGAGGAATATAAAGGAGGTAAGGAACAGCCATCTACATCGTTCTTCAGAAAGCCCGGGCCGAGATCATACAAAGGAAAGGTAGCAGAACGCTATAGCAAGGATTCATCGGCTATGGAAATGGATACGGATACCCAAGAGATCAGTTCGTCAGACAGTGAGACGACTGACCAAGAAAAAAGGAGAAGAGGAAAGGCGGGAAAGGAGGAAGATTGGGACACGAATTCGCCCCCCGAGAAACTCAACCGAGGAAACAAGGGCCCTCAAAGGATAACATCAAACAGGAAAAGGGATAGGCTGACGTCGGAAGCCGAATCTGACTACAGTAAGAGCAGGACAACAGGGGAATATGTCGGGAGAAGAGAGGCGATCCTCAAATATAATGAGGCCAAAGAAGAGGCGCTGCGATTAGATAGAGAGAAGATAATTAGGGAGTATAGCAGCTGCGAATTATTCAAGAAAGCGAAGATAAATCTGGAAAAGATAAAAGAAGAAATGGAAGATAAGTCTATTGAGGAGCTTGCTACCAAAGTAAGTGACAACCTAACGGAGGTGCTGAGAGTCGCTAAGTCATCAAGCAATCTCAAAGGGACTTTTCAAAAGAGCCTGAGGATAGCTGCGGCTTCGTCAATGGGAATTTTTGAAGTTCTTAAAGACAAAGCTATGCGGTCAAAAGAAGAAGCTAAATCCGCGGAGATAAAATCCCTAAAAAGAGAAATCGCAAAAATCAAAGCGAAGATGGAGGAAGAAGTAGAAGGAGAGCGGAGAAAAGCCTTGCAGGCAGCAGGAGAGGCAGAAGCGTACAAGCACGAGCTTCAGATATTAAAGAAAGAAAGACGGGAAAGGAGGAGGGACAAGACCCCGAGTCCTAAAGAAAGGGACAAAAGAAGCGGTAGCAAGGGAAGACATCAAACAGAGACGCCGAAGAAAACCACAAAAAGGATACCTTCAGCCAATATAAAGGCGAAGGAGAGATTAATCACGTCGGACTCCGAACAAATGGAGATTGACGAGAAGCCTCCCTCAAGTAAGAAAATCACACTGGATAGACCAGAGGAATGGCCTAAGGTCATCCGTCCTACCCTCTGTGGAAAGAGAAAAATATTACAAGAGGACCCGAATGTACAGGAGGAAATATACAACGAACACAAGAGATATATGGCTGACACGAGTAAGGAAGAAGGAAAGGGGACAAAGCCCAAAATAGAGAACGAGGAAAACAAAAGAAGTAAGAAGAAAGAAATAGAATACAACCAGATGGAATTAGCAGAATTAATTAGGAAGATTGTAGCAGAGGAACTATCGCGACACGGTAGGAAACCGATAATTACGGAATTTCAAATACCGAAGGTCCCTATAATACTGGAAAGAAGTGGAGGAAAAACGACGGAAAAGAGCTCAATCACGAAGGGAGATAATAATAGTACTCCCAGAAAAGAGGCTCAAACAACCAGAGGCGGATAAAAGAAGGAAAATAACCATTAAGGAAACGACCGACACAGAAGACACGGAAAAGGAGACGTTATGGTCCAAAGTGGTCGGCAGGAAAGAAAAGAAGGCACAAAACAAAATAGGTAAATCGCCAGAAACAAGAAATGTAGTTCCCTCATCTACTCCAAAGAAAAATCCCAAAATGGCAAGTAGGGAAGGGAACCAAAACAGTAGAAGGGTCCCGAATACTACGGCGGTTCAGATAAGCTGCCGGGGAGAGACATCTTATGCAGACGTGATGTGCATCGCGAAAAGTAAAGTCGACATCGATAGCCTAGAAATTTCCGAACTGCGCCCAAGGAAAGCCAGAACGGGGGCACTGCTCCTTGAAATTCCGGGAATGGAAGGAGCAAAGAAGACAGATAAATTGGCGGAAAAGCTAAAGGAAGCCCTGGCGAATGAGCAGAATGTCTTAATATCTCGCCCAGAGAAATTTGCAGACATACGACTCAAGGACTTGGAAGAATCAACGACGAAGGAGGATATAATGATGACCATTTCCAAAAAAGGAGAATGTCACAAAGACTCAATTAAAGTAAGTGAGATTAGTCCAAGCAACAATGGATTAGGGACAGCGTGGATTAAATGCCCATTAGCTGCGGCTAAAAAAGTGACAAAGGACAGGAGAATCCGAATCGGGTGGACAACAGTCCGAGTAGAACTACTCCCAGAGAGACCTGTCCAATGCTACCGATGTCTGGAGACAGGCCACGTTAGACACCAATGTCGAAATGAAAAGGACAGGACCACAATATGTTACAGGTGCGGACAGGAGGGACACAATGCTAGAGGATGCAAAGAACAAATCCATTGCGTAATATGCGCCGAGAGAGGCATCAAAGCAAACCACAGGATGGGGGGACAGGCGTGTAAGCCTCCAAAAATAGGCAAAAACAAAACGATACCAGCCCCCCTAAGTATAAGCATAGGGAAGGATACCATTGGAAATAATAGCACGAGGACCATAAACGGGGACCTGGCAGGGAAAAACCCAATGAAAATAGATAAAGTAACTGGAGAGGTGGAGACAAGCGTGGCCAAATCAATGGCGGCATGCGATGCCAAAACTATGGATACTACACAAAACTCCGTGATGGAAAATATGGAGGTGGATGATCCACAAGAGTGGAAAACTCCAGAGGCAAGACCAATTCAGGAACTCGACTGACCCAATCAGGGACGAAGCTGGGATGCAGAAGGCCAAGTAAAGGAACCAAACAAAGAAGAAGGAGAAGGAGGAATCTCCAATAAAACAAAAGATGGTTAATAAAATATTACAATCGAATATTAACCACTCAAGGGATGGGCACGACATCTTAATGCAAACAATGGCGGAAGGGGATTTTGCACTCTCAATTGTGGCAGAACCATACAATATACCGAAAGACCATCCACACTGGTACGCAAACGCCAAAAAATCGGCAATAACTTGGAGACAATCCAAAGAGGCAATGCCATGCACCCTGCACAGCAGGGGAGAGCATTACGTGGCCATTAGGTGGGGGGACATGCTGGTGATGGGAGTGTACACCCCACCAAGCATGGATATCACCCTGTTTGAGGAGGCTATGGAGTTAGAGAGGTGGACTATTCAAAACTCGGACAAGCCACTTATAATAGCAGGAGACATGAATGCAAAGTCTGATCTGTGGAACTCGGACGTCACTAATGCTAAAGGAAAAATACTAGCAGAATGGGCCAGCTCACTAGGCATGTGCTGCCTAAACGTAGGAAAAAAAAGCACCTGTATAAGACAAAATGGGGAGTCAATAGTCGACATCTCCTTTGCAAACCCTGAAGCAGCAAGGAGAGTGACTAAGTGGTTCGTATCCGATAGGGAGTCTAAATCAGACCATAAGTACGTAGAAATGCATCTAATGGCCACAAACATGCAAATTCGGAAGAGAAGCATACCTAGTGCGAAAAGATGGGCAACGAAAAAACTAGAGAAAGACAGGTTCCTTGCAGCGATAATGGCTAGGACATGGCCAAAAAGAGAAGTAGGAGCCATCGAAAACCTCGATGAACAGGCCAAGTTCCTTCAAAGAACCTTAACAGAGGCATGTGATATGGCCATGCCGAGGACGAAGCCGAGGCCCTGCAGAGCTATGCCTTGGTGGAGTGAGGAGTTAAACCGTTTTCGCCAGGAACTCACAAACGCCAGAAGGCGAATCAGAAGAATAAGATGAAGGAAAACTCCTCTGGAAGACGAGGAAACCCAATGGAAACTAGAAAGCTTTAGACAGGCCAGAGACAATTTTGGCAAGGCCATCAGAAAAGCCAAGGCCAAGGCATGGGAGGAGTTCACACTTTCCCTAAACGACGATCCATGGGGGCGACCTTACAAGGCGGTCATGGGGAAATTGAGAAGGTGGACTCCTCCCTATACAGAATCCCTGGAGGAAAATATTCTGGAAAAAGTTCTCACCGGTCTATTTCCCCATCCGGAGGGAACAGCTAGGGAATGGAGAGAGCCGGGACTACCGTCAGAGGGAACCACGGCATGGAACCAAAACTTAGAAGTGACTCACGAAGAACTGCTATTAGCAGTAAAAAAGATGCAGAGAAAAAACGCGGCCCCCGGGCACAGTGGTATTCCACCAAAGGCATGGGCACTTGCGACGGAGGTCTTAGCAGGTGAACTAATCAGGCTATACACGGAATGCCTGAAAAGGGGACAGTTTCCTACAACATGGAAAAATGCCAAACTGGTCCTTCTAAGGAAAATTGGGAAACCGGATGACCAAGCATCCGGATACCGGCCAATATGCCTCCTCGATGACGAGGCGAAGCTGATGGAGCGAGTTATAGCAGAAAGAATTGTAAAACATTTAGACGAGGCAGGCCCGAACCTGAACCCACAACAATACGGGTTCAGGAAGGATAGATCAACGGTGGACGCGATAAACGCCACTAGAGGGTTTATGGAAGAAGCATTCTCAGCTGGACACAAAGTAGTTGCGGTATCGTTAGATATAAAGAATGCTTTTAATTCGCTACCGTGGAGCACCATAGGGTGTGTTCTGAAAAAGCACAAGGTACCACTATACCTAAGGAGGGTTGTAAGGAGCTACCTCTCAGATAGAAAACTCTCCTACAACAAAAGCGATGGAGCAGCATGTGAAAGAACGGTGGAAAGAGGAGTACCATAGGGGTCAATCCTAGGTCCGCTCCTATGGAATTTGGGGTTTAATAATATTATGAACGGAAAGGAACTCCCAACTGGCAGCACGGTGATCTGTTATGCCGATGACACAATAGTATTAACATCGGGAGTGGATTGGGAGGAAGCCATCACCTACGCCAATATAGCAACAGAGGTGATAGTCGCAAGAATTGCAGAAATGGGCCTTGAGGTGGCCCCTTCAAAAACGGAGGCAGTTGGATTCTTTGACAGAGGAAAGCAACCGAGTGCGACTCTACGCATAGCAGGGGCGGACGTCCAAATAGGGAAAACAATGAAATATCTAGGGCTCGTACTAGACAGCAAGTGGACTTTCGAGAACCACTTTGCGATTTTGGCTCCAAAATTGGAAAAGGCGGCTCTCTGCCTAAGTAGGTTGCTCCCCAACCTGGGAGGACCAAAAAATAAGGTGAGACGACTTTACGTTCAGGTCATAACATCTATGGCATTGTACGGAGCGCCGATATGGGCGTACCATACCAGCAAAAACAGGAAGACACTGCAGATACTCAGGCAAATGCAAAGAAGAATTACGGGTCGACTCGTCAGAGCCTATAAAACTACGTCGTGGATAACAAACACAACGTTGGCAGGTACATCTCCCTTTGAGCTGGAGGCCAAAAGACAGGAGGAGGCATACGAAAGGGTCACCGAGCGGAGAAGGAATATGCCAAACAACACCCCGATACCAAAGGAAGAAATTGAGAGAATCAAAGTAGAATCCAGAAGAAAAGAGAATAGGAAATGGAAGGAATGGCTAAGTAAAACAGATCGCGAAGAGGACGTGATAATCGGAGCGATTAGTGACTACCTGATCGAATGGCTGAACGCTAAAGTAGGGCTAACTTTGCGAGCGACACAGGTGCTGACGGGGCATGGGTGCTTTGGTAGGTACCTGTGTCGCATCGGAAGGGAACCGACGGCAGAATGTTGGTTCTGTGGGGCTGAGAACGACTCAGCCAAACATACGCTTTGGTATTGCCCGGCTTGGGTAGAACAGCGTACAGAACTGATGAAGGAGACAGGCCCAGAGATGACGTGGAGAACAATGATAAGGGAAGACGGGAGAAAAGCCTTCCTCAAGTTTTGCGAGTTGGTCATGCGAAAAAAGGAGGCAAGGGAAAGAGAAAGGGAAGGGGTGGTAATACCACTGGCGAGGTAAAGCAATGGGGATTAAAACGCGAGTGAAAAGGCGAATGGTAGGAGAGAACACCGCTCCGAACAGCGGGGCGGCGAGAGGCTTATAAATACCCCAAGGGGAAATTAACCTCGACACTACGGGGCGGGGTACCTTCTCCAACTTTAACTTAGGTGCCCCCCCCCCCCGTGGCTCTATAGTAGCGGGAGATCAGAACGTGCGCGGCTAATGCGATTGTTAGGAGGGGCAACCGCACCGATTAGCGGGGCGGTGAGAGGTGCCGAAATATCCCAAAGGGGGATATAAACCTCGACACCACGGGGTGGGGTACCTTCTCCAACTTTAACTTAGGTGCCCCCCCCCCCGTGGCCCTAGTCTGATTAGACGATAGGAGGAGACAAACAGTCACACCGACTAGAGGGGTGACTGGTCTCAATCAAGCGATACAAGGATAGGGCTGTGAGGCCGAGCCAGACTAGTTTTGGCCCTCACGGGAAAGACCCATGGGACCGAGGGCGGGGGCCTAAGGTCCCCACGAGATGGGTGGGGGAAAGGGAGAGTGTGTTGCCGGCGTCCTCACACCCTCGGGTAAATAAAGGATAGGCTACAGAAAGTAGCTAAGCGGGGACCATCCGGATGTACTATTACTGAAACTCCCGGATGGCCCCCATAAGCTTCGGGTTAGGTACGCCCGCAGCGGTTTTAGTGGGTAGGCTCCTCGAGGCAACAGCCCCGAGGAGAGAGTCCCACATACCCCGCTTCCCTCCCCCGGGGGAGGCGGGGATGCGTAACGCATTTCCCCTGCGCCACAAAAAAAAAAGAGGTTCAAAATTCCATCCCCCGTGCGTGGGAAGCCTTGTCGTGGCACGGGGGCTCACCCTGGTCTCTCTTATGAGGGCCAGGGTGCTAATATCCCACAGTACGGAGTCCCTCGTTAAATAGAGGGATTCTGTACGCTAGGGTCCGGCGTCCCAAGGACCCCCCGTACTCCTCGGAGTGAACCATCCTTTTGCAGGATGGGGAATCAATACGCCGGTAGGAGAAGGTAACTCCGACTGCAAATCCCGGTGGCACGGCACCGTTAGAGAGAGGTTTGCTCTCTCACCATGCGAGGAGTGGTGGTCGTCCACCATGGTCCGTGGATCTCTGGGGGGACTCCCACTCTCCCTTCAGGGGGGAGGGGGGGGGCTTCCTCTTGGGGCCTCACGGGCCAAAGAGGCGACGCAGCCATAGGCTGCAGGCGGGCTCTGGCGACAGCCATTGAGCCCAAGCCAGAGTAGGGTCGCGAATGTATGGAGTGGGCTTGCCCACATTGCACCCATACATTCACCATCAGGCTTGCCCAGTGGGCGGTTGTTTTTCATAAACGACTGCCCATTGCACACTGGGTGTCTCTGATGGAGACGCGGTTGGAGGGCAGGACTCCGTGCCGCCGGGGGCGGGCGGGGGCTTGTCTAAAAACCGTGGGGGAGGCGATGGGGACCTACAGAGAAATCTGTGAGAACCCCCATGCCTCTCGGAGAGGGGCTTCCCTGGGAAACCAGGGGCCCCGTTTCCCGGGCCGCGTGGACATATTCCGCGGCAGGGCCGGGAAATTTTTCACGGAAGCAGTGTCCTGTCTGCGGGCAGGACACTCTCAGGGTGCTCTCGGGGCAGAAATGCCCATTGCACTGAGAGCGTCCCTGATCCGGGCTCGGGGGTTCGCCCGCGCGACGTAAAAGCGTTCCGTTGCGCGGGCGAATTCCCCGTTGGGGTAGAGTTAAGGGGTGAAGCTCGGTCCCCGTGGCATTAAAGCGTTTGCTACGAGGGCTGGACCTCGCCGGTGGGTGGTGGGGGGTTGCGGGGAGTCCGCTCAACCTGACTCCCGCTCCTCAATTTAGATTAGACGGGGGCAGCGGCCTCTTGGACATTTCCGAGCAAGGGCGCTGCCCCTGGCCCTCTGCGTCTCTGCCGGGGTGGTGGCGGGGGGGGCGCGCCGGGGGGGCCTTATGCATCCCGCGCGATGCAGAGCGCTTTTCGAGGCCCAACTGCGGCGCGTCTCCCTAGTCCCCAGTTTCCTGGGAAGATGTGGGGGGGTGGAGGACGAGTGCCCGGTCTCTCGAGACGGCGTCCCTCCCAAAACGAGGGACCGGGCGGAGTTTTAGCCGGCTGAGGGGGGCTGTGCCCCTCTCAGTCGGCGTGCTGGTCGCCATGGCGGGGAGGGCGCGGAGGGGACGTCGCCTCCGTTACCCAAACCGTCCATGGGGCCGCCCCGAGTGGCGTCATCCGTGTCGGTACCCCCGGGGTCGGAGCCGGGGGTCCCCCGAAAACCTAAGGCATTGCACCCTAGCCGAAGGCCAGTAGGGGGCTGGAGCCCAGTGCCCGCGATGCACTTTCCGCGGGCCCGAGGCATATGTCTTCCCCCCGGGGGAACTCGGGGCCTCGCCAAGAGATTGGCGGGGAGGGTACACCCTGGAAGGCGCAGCCGACACGGGGAGTGGGACTAAACAAAATGAATAATGAACAAGACAAATTAGACTCGACGATTACAATAATTGATACCGATAAGGAGATGAATATAGACCAGGAAGAGAATATGTCAGGAGGACCGGAAAGAAAGGACGCTCTAATGCAGGAGCAGAGACAGACGGGATACTCTCTCTCGGTGTACGGTACGGAGATACAACTGAGTGGGTCAAGGACGAAGGAATATAGGGAGAGCCATAGTCAACCTTCCACATCCTTCTTCAGGAAGTCAGGTCCGAAGTCCTACAAGGGAAGGAGGACCGATCGTCTAAGCGTGGACTCGTCCGCTGTAGACACTGAAACATACAAAATCAGCTCGTCGGATAGCGACGTGACTGACCACGGGAGGAACAGGGGCAAAAGGGCGGTCATTGAAAAAGACTCCGACGCATCTCCCCCCGAAAAGATCAACATCGGTAGTAAAGGCCCTCAGAGAATTTCGGGAAACAGAAAGAGAGAGAGGACAGCCTCTGATGCAGACTTTGGACAAAGAAAGAGCATGACTACCGGAGAGTACGTAGGTAGAAGGGAGGCGATTCTCCGATATAACGAGGCCAAGGAGGAAACCCTACAGCTCGACAGAGAAAAAATCATTCGAGAATACAGCAAGGTAGAATTATTTAAAAAAGCGAAGATCGATATGGTCAAGGTAAGGGAACAATTGGAGGAACATTCAATTGACGAACTGATTAATAAAGCTAATGGTAACTGTGCTGAAGTCCTAAGAATTGCAAGAACATCCAGCAATCTCAAGGGGACATTTCAGAAAAGTCTGAAATTAGCAGCAGCCTCATCTCTGGGGATCGCGGAGATACTGAAAGAGAAGGCGTCACTTTCAAAAGAAGAGGCGAAGTCGCAGGAGATCAAATCACTCAAGAAAGAAATCTCCAGAATCAAACTAAAGATGGAAGAGGAGATAGAGAGAGAGAGGAGAAAGGCCCTGCAGGCGGCAGGAGAGGCCGAGGCTTATAGGTCTGAACTGCAGGCCCTCAGGAAGGAGAAACTCGATAAAAAAAAAGACAAGACGCCCAGTCCTAAGGAAAAGGATCATTATAAAGTGAAGCCGACGGCAAAATTTTCTTCGGAAACTCCGAAGAAGTCCAACCCCAGGAGAACTCCGTCAGCAAACATAATGGCGAGAGATAGACTGCTAACATCTGAGTCAGAATAGAGGTTGACGAAAAATCTCCAAAACAGAAGAAAGTCACCTTAGACGATTCAAAGAAATGGCCTGAGGTGAAGAGACCCACCCTTTGCGGAAAGCGGAAAATTATCGAGGAAAATCCGTCTTCACAAAGAGCAATCTATGAGGCTCACAAAAAATACATTTCTGAGTCTCACAAAGAAAGCGGAAGTAAACGTCAATCTTCTAAGGAAGAAAAAGAGGAAGGACAGAAAAACAGAAAGAATATCTCTGGCATGGACACCGTCGAGCTAGCCAACATGATCAGAGAGATAGTGGCAAAGGAACTAGACAGATGCAATAGCAAAAAACCAAGGATTACGGAAATCCAAACGCTGAAGGAACCCTTTATCATGGATAAAGAAGCTGGAAAGTCTGCAAATAAAAACAAGATAGAAAGGGAAGAGTACAAAAGCAACAAAAGCACCCCTAGGGAGACTCCGAGAAAGAACACGGGAAATGAAAGGAAGAAAACTCTTACGACAGAGGAAGAAACAGACCGAGAGAAGAAAGAACCCCCGTGGAGCAAAATATTAGGAAGGAAGGAGAAAAAAGCGACGAAAACGGGCATACCGCACAATCTCGGAGCCAGAAAGTCCTCCATGTCCTCTACTCCGGCAAAAAACCTAAAGACAGCAAATACGGAGGGAAGTAAAAACAGAAGAGCCCCCAAAACAGCTGCCATACAGATCAGCTGTAGGGGTGAAGCTACATTTGCAGAAGTCATGCGGGTAGCTAAAGCAAAAGTGGACATAGATGCCATGGGAATTCATGAGCTAAGGCCAAGGAAATCAAGATCCGGAGCGTTACTCCTGGAAATCCCAGGAGCAGAAGGAGGTAGCAAAGCAGATAAATTAGCAGAAAAGCTCAAGACAGCGCTAGAGGGTCAGGAGGACGTTCTAATCACTAGACCAAAAAAAATGGCTGAACTTAGAATCAAAGACCTAGAGGAATCTACAACAAAGGAGGATATTCTGTTGACCCTGACTCTACTAGGGAGTTGCAACAAAAAGGTCTTCAAAATGGGGGAGATAATCCCGTCATACAACGGATTAGGGACATTATGGGTTCGATGTCCGGTGGCCGTAGCAAGAAGTGTGACAAAGAATAAACGAATAAGAATCAGGTGGACAACCGTGAGAGTGGAATTACTTCCCGAAAGGACTATGCTTTGCTTTAAATGCCTAGAACCCGGACATATCAAAAAGCAATGCAGCAACGAAATAGACAGAAGCGCACTCTATTACAGATGCGGTCTTCCTGGTCATCTAGCTAAAGGATGCTCGGAACAGGCTTTTTGCCCAGTATGTGCGGCAAAGAACGTTAAAGCAAACCACAGAATGGGCGGGCCAGCCTGTAAGCCCCCAGTAAATAAGAGAAAGATCCAAAGGGAGGAAAAACCAAATAAAGAACCCCAGTTGGATCAGAATAAAAACATGGAGAGCACGAGTATGGACGTTGAAAAACCATGTGAGAATTCCCCTGAAAAAGAAGAGGGGAAGGAAAGGGAAGCTAGCGTGATCAAGCAATTAGCGAAATGTAGCGTAAAGGAAGGAAACAAATCTGAAGACAGAACTATAGAGGAAATGGAAATAGAGGAGAATAGGCCGGAAAGCGAAGTAAGCAACCAGCCTCCTCAAGAAGCGCTGGACTGGCCAGAACTAGGCCAAGAATGGACCTCATCCATACAGGGTGCACCGGGAAGTTCAAACAATGGAGAAGGAGGACTCCAATACACAAACAAAAACAATGTATAATAAAGTTCTTCAAGCCAATATCAACCATTCCAGGGATGGTCACGAGGTACTCCTTCAGACCATGGCAGAAGGAGAATTTGCGGTAGCTGTTATTTCTGAACCTTACAAAATACCGCAAAACCACCCGCACTGGACTGGAAACAGAGATAAATCAGTAGCAATCACATGGAGGCGCACGCGTAACCCTCTGCCATGCACCCCACTTAAAAGTGCCAAACATTATGCAGCAATAAAATGGGGTGATATGATCCTTTTCGGTACATACCTACCTCCTAGTTTGGACACGAGACAATTTGAAGAAGCTCTCGAGGAAATGGAGGATGAAATTCAACAGCTAGGGAATTCTCCGATATATGTCTTAGGAGACTTTAACGCAAAAGCAACCCTATGGCAGACAGAAACCACTGATATACGAGGAAGGTCGGTGGTGGAATGGGCAAGCCACCTAGGTATGTGCTGCCTCAACCACGGTGGCAGAAGCACATGTATCAGATACATGGGGGAGTCAATTGTAGACTTATCCTTTGCCTCTCCAACAGCTGCCAGAAGAGTTGCATCATGGAAAGTTTCTGACCGCGAGAGCAAATCAGACCATAGGTATATAGAAATTGAGATCAATGATACCAAAATGCAAAGATCGAAAGAGCGTCTTCCGCAAACTAAGAGATGGGCTACCAAGAAACTGGATAAGGACATGCTATCGGCAG